TCTTTGTCATTTTACGCTGGGTAACACCATATTGGTATTTGATAGGTACTTTTTCTCAAACCTATATAAAAGAACCACAGACAACGTTTATGAATTTTATGGCCAAGCTTTTGCAAAAGGAGAAGTCTCCGTCAACAGCTCCTCCAAGCTGTTCACAGAGCGTTCTGATCTCCTTCCACGCGAGCCCCTGTTTTATTGTCAAAGAAAAACAGCCAAGGGGGCAGTCAGGAAAAACAACAGAGGTCGTAAAACTTCTAACCCAAACAACTAGCAACCCAGTTCCAGGTGTGATATCTGATCTACGGTCTGAGCCCGGTTCAAATCTCGGTCAAACTGTCAACAAAGAGGGAGGATAAACAAGAGACAAAATATGACTGCTCACAGGCAGTTAGGAGGTATTCTGATTGATAAGAATTTAGGGTCTGGGAAACACAGAGTTAACTGTTTCACATGAAGATGAAACAGACAGTCCTGACCTCAAGGTTAGTTCATACACACATAAGGAAGAGAACACTTTAAACAGAAAATCACAATAATCTATAGACTGAATGTGAACTAAAGTAATTACAAAATGATAATACTGAAAATTCTCTAACAGACCAATTAAACCAATGTGCTAAATAACATTAAGTTTGGGGATCTGTGCCACTGTTAACCTTGTATTTAAATAACATAACCAAAAAACCTGTTGTAAGATGGGAACCAAAGAGAATCTAAAGAATTTGATTAACATTATTATTCCTTTATTTCTACAGGAAAATCTCTTGAAACTCGTTGCCTCATTTACAAGAGAGACCTGTGACACCCTTCAAATAACAAAAAGAATAATAATACAACGGAGTTGGGAGAAGGGAATATGACGGAGAAGAAGGAATGAGACAGAACGTGTTGTCTTCTCAGAACTGTGTGCTGGGTTGTGGATGAGTGGGAGTTTGTTTCTCCTACCTCCCCTCACCTCAGGGCGTAACCGGCAGACGCAGCCTCCAGCTGGCGCTCATCAGTCGCAATTAAGTTAAAGCTGAAAAGTGTGAGTTTCACATCTCCTCCATAACCTTCCTGATTACTTTCTGTTTTGAAAAGAATAGAAAATCTGATTCCATCAAACGTAGCTTTTATCTTGTGTCTGGAGACGCTGCTTGCGCTACAGTCACATCCGTCCATCATGACAGAATATGGTTGCAGTTATTTCCTCAAATGGCAAATATGAATTAATCTTTTATTGGTTCTAGAATATCATGGGTGGAGGCATGTCTAAGAGCAAGTGGCTGTTTTTTTTTTTGTTTTTTTTTTTACCAAACTAGGCTGGATCTGAGCACAAGACTTTGGTAGACAGGCAGATCTGGTATTGTATTATTTCTGGGCATTTTTTTGTTGTTTTCTCAGTTGTCTGGTGTTGCTGCTTGCTGAAAGAATTTCCAAACTTTTTGACCGATTGTTCTTCAATATTCTTCAAAGTTTGTGAGATCTCAATCATCAGAGAAACTGCCTCGTCAGGCTCCGATTTATGTGCCTGTAGGCATGCCAAATTGTTTTAAGCCAGTTCTGGCAGCTACAGATGAGTTTAAGGTGTGAAGGGAAACAACAATAGCTGTTGCTAAAGTACTGCTTTTAGCAGTAATTATATATGGGCTGGAGACATTTTTATTTTCCCTGGAAGAAGAGAAGAAAAAAAGACAAAAGAGCTTTCTGAGATAAGCGAAACATTCTTGTCTGCTGAGCTTGTAAAAACTTCAGTTTTGCTTTTTGCATGGTTGATAAATGCTTGGTTTATAAAGTTACCTGCTAAATGTCCTCTCAGATGCAAGAATACCCCACAAACTTTTCAGTGGACTCCATTGAAGTCTAGCCAAAATGTGGGTCACTAAGTG